AGGAAAACTTGACAAATTACAAGAAGGTGGGGAGGGGGTAAGGTGAGATGGATCACTATCTCCTCCAGGGAGAGGAAGGGGAAATTGCATATATTCTATTTCTTCAAATTCTTACTAAGAAATGTATCAGAACTATCGATCAGCACTCGACTGACGGTCATCCGAAGAATGGCCTATTTCTGGACATTAAGGTCGGAATTTTCGGTCAAATGAAAAGCACTCATTTATTTCCTCTGTCATTTCTTTTCCTCCTTCAGTGTCTCATTGGTGGAGCCCGGACCTGTTGGAACTGCGTTCGTCGGTAACTTATACAACTTTGATTGCTCCACCGTTGACCAAAAAACGCTACAACTGATGAAGAATTGGTTTGACTACACAAAGGAGGCACTCGGCCCGTCAGTCATTCAGAAAGGGGAGGAGATTGCCCAATGCATCAAAGAAATTCTCCTTTCAGAGAAACCTCACTATAGGTATTTGACCAATGATAAATGTTTTGTCGAACAAATGAGTGCTAAGCTGGTCGATTTTTCTGGCGATAGGCTCTTAGAAATGATGGGAAAATACTGTGTCGGTCAAAATAAGTGAAAGACTGAAACGGGAAATCGCAACAATGCCTTTATTATCTTTTCACACGACAAGTGCGTTAGGTTTTGTGCTAGGAGTAACGTTGTGATAGTAGCCCACCGACTCGATCTTAGAACAAAAAAGAAGAAAAAGTTGATTTAGAATAAAGCAAAGCAGTATGGTTAGTGACTAAGAAGTAGAAGTTTTATGTGATATAATTGTTAGTTGGAAAAAAATGTGCTGTAAAGTGATTCCTGCAACAAGAGATTTCTGATTAAAAGGGTACTTGCAATTGTTATATGTCATTCATATTATTTTCCGTCCAAGAGAGTGTACGTGCATGCAAAGTGGGTTGCACTTCGTGAGTCCACATTATTTTGCCACGGTACAGGTGATGACGTATATCGTCGTCGTTAAGAGACGGCAGACCACGTTCAACCGTTAACGATTTGCTGAATTTTTAATTTCATTCCCTGCTTTTTTCGACTTTCCAACCATAACGCCTGTGGACATTTTTCAGGCCAATTTACAATTTCAACTTAGTTGTTATTACTAAATTTTTCAGGCTGGTTTTCAAGGCAAGCTCTACCACATGATTTACAGTTGTTTAAAGTCGCCACCCATGCATGGAAGCCTGCTGTATTGCGTTTTCTGTGGTCAGCTTCCTATCAGGAAAGGTCGACTGCGCTTTGGGCCATACACGGGAAGCCTTGTCTGTTTAGAGCTAAAAGGCTCTGTTTAAAGCGAGTTCTTGTGGGAAGTGCGTTATTTCAAAGTCACAAGCTTCTCTTTGGTACTTTTTTTTACTTCTTTTGTATAATTTACGTTGCAAAACTCCAAAATTCTCAGCGGGTGGAGACAATTCAGTAACCGGGCGAATTAAAATAAACTAGGCTCTCAGCCCCCACCCCTCCCTCCCCTCCCAATTTATTTATTTAACATTCGCCCTCATTTTCGCGCTCGTTTCTACAAACTGGTTGCATATTTCAGCCGCAGTAAATTTGGAATTTTTCAGTTATCAATTTAAAAAAAACTTATAAATTTTTTTGACACCTTAATTTATGACATTTGACGTTTTGAGATAGCAACATTAACTTACCATGCTATATCTTACAACACTCTAGATATTTTTCGAGGGTCACCTTCATTGATGGAGCTGCAAATCCAAAAAACTGGAGAAGTACGTTGATTTTATTATGGATCATCGACGTTAACCCAGTATTTGAGAAACTGATCGTTTTTCGTTTATCTGATCACAATTCCGCAATTCGGCTATCATTTACTTCTTCATCGTGCAATATCACCAAAAATATTCAAATACAACTTGATTCGTTGTTCCAAAACTGCTATGCGTTTCAGTTTTCTTTTCACTTACCAAGAACATCAATCTTTCCCTCCTTTGTAATGATCGCTTCAACGACGCTTTTCACAGATTCATCAGAACTTACATCCATGCATTTGATTATCAGGGTTTCGCCGAGTCTTTCCTTTCCAGTCCTCTTCCACAAAGGTCTTTTTCTCCAGATTTCTCATGGTTGCGTACACCTTGAAACATTTGTCGGCATCTTTGGCTAAATGTAGGGCAGTGTGAAGGCCGATGCCAGTTGAACAGCCTGAGATTAAGACGATCCTTGGCGACGCCATTTTAAACACAATACTTGACCTGTGGGATTTACAAAACAAAGAAAGAATATGAAGGTGACCGGAAGTAAATCGCTCCAGAGCAACCGGAAATAGACTTGGGTTTCAAGTTCACCCGGAAAGTTACTGAACTTGATTTAGTGCTGACAGATAACTGTGAAATGTTCGCGACACATTAGTTACAGCCATACTCCCCTCCAGTTCTACCACTTCCCATCCTCAACTCCCCCCGCTCTTTCAGTTGTGGTAGTAAATGCGCTCCTTTTCCCTACATCTCTGACGGACTTCCTAACTATACCTCTTTTTCTACCGGCGAAACACGTACTATTAAATCTCACTTGACTTGTGACACTAAAAACCTTATCTACTTGATTCAATGTAACCGCTGTAACTTCCGATACATAGGAGAAACTAAACGACGTTTAAAAGACCGTTTTAATGAACACCGCCGTACCATTGATAAACCTAAATCTAAACCTATTACTCCGCTTACGACTTGGAGCTCATCGCCATCGAAAAAGTGTTTTCCAAGAGAAACTCGATCCGCAAGGCCAGGGAAGCTTTTTTAATTTCAGGAGGCAAGACTCGACTATTTATCCCGATGGCCTTAATACAACGGTCGCAAAGAAATGTATTAGTATTTTTCATTTTACTATTCTTAGGGGCCGACCATTTAACTCTTGAGAGGGGGGGTGGGGTGGGTGATTTTGAAAAAAAATTTCCTGCAAGCGGTTGCCGGAAGAAAAAAAATTCATGCAGCCCAAATGAAACCGAATAAAAAGAGCATTTAGAACGGAAAAAAAATCCTGCCCAGCAGATTGCTAAAACAAAAATTTCTTGATGACCAGAAATCACCCACTACCCCCCCCCCTCTCAAAAGTTGAACGGTCGGCCCCTTACTTAGGGTTGTTTAATTTATTCAATTTAACCCACTTTACTTCTATTTTTATTTACTATTTCTATTTTTTTATTATTATCTCATTGTCAATCAAATTAGTTTTACGTATTTCCGCTATTACATCATACAGCTATCTAAGTACCACCTTAATTCTATATCAATTCCCACTGCACTGAAGAAGGCTGGTTTGACCAGCCGAAATATAGTGCTCCGTTTAAAACTTATCCACGTGGTCTTGGTCTTGCCTCTATATTTATTGACAGGTAACCCATCTCTCGTCCTTACTAGCTCGAGCAGGTTACCTCGCACTTGTATTCTGCAGTTTTTGCATTAGTATCCGCAAGCATTCAGTTGTTGTAATAAAATTTCCGATTACGTGACTTCGAAATTTCACTGCTGCCTAGCTCTAGAAATCCTGCGCTCTTATTTACGTCACGCTTCGAACGAGTGAACAGAAATTGTATTGCTGTGTCATACCAGCTGCTTTTGATTGCTCGATAGAATCTTCAATCTATACTTTGTGTGACTGACTACTAAACACTTCGCCCACGCAACGCCTCGATGAACATTAAAGGCGCATGCAGTCACAGAGGAACGAACAAACGAACGAACGAACGAACGAACGAACGAACGATCGCAGCAATGGCTTCACCTCGCGTGGTTTTAATCTCGGGTTGCTCCACTGGCATAGGTCTGGAAACCGCTGTGCTTTTAGCCAAAGATCCTGAAAAAAGGTTTAAGGTGTATGCTACGATGAGAAACCTGGACAAAAAGACGGCCCTAGAGAGCGAAGGAAAGGACGCACTTGGCGATACATTGTTTATCAAAGCCATGGATGTGAGCTCTGACGAATCTGTCAAAAGTGCCGTTGAGGAGATAATTGCTCAAGAAGGAAAAATCGATGACCTTGGTAAGTGAATTTCGAGGTAACATTGATGTATACGAGTTAAGAAATCTGCACACCTCAGATATATCACACTTTATTGTATTGTGTGAATTCACGCCCCATTTCAGATCATATTATTTTCACAGGGAGCAGTCATGAAAAAACTCTGCGCAGTATCGAAAGCTCCGCCGAAAAAGTAATAATCGTACGCTTGCTTACATGTTTATGCCACCACCACTGTTCATTTCGCAAGATTAACTTGATTTCAGAGTGGCTGCAGATGAAACCGATATCGCAATTGCAATGAGAGGTAAAAAAGATTTGCATATCCGAATAATAAATAGGTCCGAACAAATACTGACCAGAAATCAATGATGCATTCACAATGACAAAGCTTGTTTGTGATCGAGAAAAGCCGGATTACTTATTAAGTTGTTGGTAAAAAAGAAACTTCTTGTCACGACATCTAAGAGTGCATTGCCACATAAGAAGAAACCTCAGATTGTCAATAATTCAGATAGAAAACCATGAAAAATGAAATGAAAAAATAACATCAAAAATGAGTAGAAAGGTTAATGCAAATACAAAATATACATAATGACAAGCTTTATGCGAACCCCTTTGAGTCAGCGTGACATTGCGCACTCCTAAAACAGCTTTCAAGCAAAGTTACATACATATATAGGTACATATGTTAATTGACCACTCCCCATAGGGGAGATTCACATATCAATGAAATCATCTTAGACCGACCACTGCACTGAGTTACATAAAATTAGTCTTAAATGTAATCATTTTTTCTCGCCTTATCGTCTTGATATGGCCAGAAATTGTGTATCCCTGCGCCTGATTCAGCTTCGATCGGCTCTGAACCAGCCTTTCCCTCCCTTCCCCGCTCCTTGCTTTTTTTTTCGCTCGTTTTCGCCACATGCCCCCATCCCCATTCGATGGAAAGGTAGCAGAAAGGATTGGTACTCAGGCTAGCCTGCTTAGACCTTTCTAGTCTGCGATTAGGTATTCATTTATTTTTCCCCAGGGAGGGAGAGGGGCACAATTCAATCTTCTAGCAGACGGTACACGGGTTGAGATCTTTCATGTTTCACTCTCTGTCCATTTTCTGTTTCGTTTTCAGTAAACAATGCTGGTGTTGGTTGTGTCGGTGTACTGGAGTGTATGCCTATGGATCAGGTCAAACAATTATTTGAAGTGAATTTTTTCGGAGCTCTTCGTTTGATCCAGGCCGTACTCCCTAGCATGAAAGCGAGAGAAAGCGGCTACATTGTGAACGTCAGTAGCATGGCTGGGGAGTTAGGCGGACCATTTAACGACATTTACTGCGCTTCAAAGTTTGCTCTGGGAGGACTCACAGAGTCACTGGCACCTGTGTTAAGGCAGTTCAAAATCAAGTAAGGATCTTTTTTTTTTTTTTACAATGACATATTGCAATTTGAGTGAGAGAGTCGCTCAGTAAAACAGGCTCAGCACTATGCCATTTGAAAATTGTTTTTTCAACTTTGAGCTGGGGCAAACAGTGGCCTATAATGTTTAGCACACGTACCTCTGCATTGAAAGGCCTGGGTTCTAACCCCGCTTAGAGCATTGAAATGTGTTCATGGGTAGGACAGTGCTTCTCTCCCACCAGGAGAAATGTATATTGTGAAAGTGTCAGGAAAACTTGACGAATTACAAGAAAGTGGCGGAAGGGGTCCGGTGAGATGGGTCACTATCTCTTTCGGGGAGAGGAAGGGGAAATTGCAAATCTCCTAATTTTTCAAATTCATACCAAGAAATGTATCATAATTAACAAATGGTAAACACCACAGCGTACACTAATGAGTTATGGATGCACGCGGGAGGTTGCTAAGCACGAAAGAAGCGTAAGAGTCGCTCGAGGCGATAGCTGAGAGCGACTCTAGCTTCTTGAGTTCTTAGAAAACCTCCCAAGTGTATCCATAACTCAATAGTGTACGCTGTGGTGTTTACCATTTGTTTTATAACATAACATTGATACATTGTAGCTAAAGAGTTCCCTTTTATTTAACAAATCTTACGCGACCAGAAAAAAACAAGCGCGCGCGGAAAAATAGTCTTTGCATTTGCTCACGTCAGCAGCGTACACCCATGGGCAAATGGGGGACGCTAAATTGACCAATCAGAGCGCGCGCTTTACTTTGGTTATGTTATAACTATCGATCAGCAGTCAACTGACGGTCATCTGAAGAATGGCTTACATCCGGGCATTCAATTAGGAATTTTCGGTCAAATGGAAAGCACTCATTTATTTCCTCTGTCATTTCTTTCCCTCCTTCAGTATCTCATTGGTGGAGCCCGGACCTGTTGGCACCGCGTTCGTCGGCAACATAAACAACTTCGATTCCTCCACCGCTGACCAAAAAACGCTACAACTGATGAAGAATTGGTTTGACTACATAAAGGAGGCACTCGGCCCGTCAATCATTCAGAAAGTGGAGGAGATTGCCCAATGCATCAAAGAAATTCTTCTTTCAGAGAAACCTCACTATAGATATTTGACCAATGATAAATGTTTTGTCGAACAAATAAATGCTAAGCTGGTCGATTTTTCTGGCGACAGGCTCTTAGAAGTTATGGAAAAATATTGCTTCGGTCAAAATAAGTGAAAGACTAAAACGGGAAATGGTAACAATGCCATTATTATCTTTTCACACGACAAGTGCGTTAGGTTTTTGTGTTAGGAGTAACGTTGTGATAGTAGCCCATCGATTCGGTCTTAGAGCTAAAAGAAGAAAACATTCTTTAGAATAAAGCAAAGCAGTATGGTTAGTGACTAAGAAGTAGAAGTTTTATGCGATATAATTTGTTAGTTGGAAAAAAATGTACTGTAAAATGATTCCTGTAAGAAGAGATTCCTGATTAAATGGGCATTTGTTATATATCATTCATATTATTATCCGTCCAAGAGAGTGTACGTTCGTGTGAAATGGGCTGCGCCTCGTGAGTCCATATTATTCTAACCACTGTGATGACGTATACTGTTGTCATCAAGGGACGGCAGACCACGCTCAACCGCTGACGATTTGCTGAATTTATAATTTCATTCCCTGCATTTTTCGACTTTCTAGCTATATCGCCAGTGGACCTAGGCAGGCGATTCAAATAAACACGACAAGTGTGCGATTTACTTCGGAGAAAAAAATTACATACAATAAAAATAAGAACGCATACTTCTGTGTGTGCGAGTGACCTTCGGAAACTCCGCACATACACAATGCAGGTGTTGACCAAGCTCACCGTAATGTTCTTAGGAGTTCAATGTTCGTGTTGGGAACTTTACTTTTTTTTTACTTTGTTTTATGCTCATGACGAGACAATAGACATGACGAGACAGTAGACATATTAAATCAATTTTATAATGTTCGTATTCTTGAGAAGTTTCCGGTTTGAGAAGTGAATTCGAAGGTTTGAGAAGGGAAGGTTTGGCTAAATTTCCTCTGCATTTTCCGTTGTTAATGAAAACTGTAAACCAATCCTGTAGTACTGTGTTAATGCTAATTAATTAATGAGAAAATACATGGACAAAAGGATTAAACTTGATAAAGTTTTTTTCATCAAGGACTACATGGTAGGATAAAGTAAACAAAAAGGGGATTTAACAATTTCTCAACTTCTTGCAAGCATTAAAGTTCTTCCTGCATCAAAGATCATTTGATAAAACCTTCTTCTAATACAGTACTTTAATTTTGGATTACAATGGCGCCCTTGAATAGCAAACCCCACAATTTAATTATCAAAAGGGGCAGATAGGGACATACGGTCTTCTTTAAAATTAATCTTTCATTCTTTTTGGATCGCTATAAACTAAAGCCTTGATGACGTATAAATTAACACCCTTGTAAATTAAACCAAATGTTGATCCCATCAGTAAAAGAAAAAAAGCCGGGTGATATGCTAAATTTACTTTGGATTTAAACTTTTGTTTTTTAAAGGTCATTAGTTGAAATAGAGCCTTCTATGATAAATGAATTTGAATGACAGAAGTTGAGGGGTAATTTATAAAGTAACGGGTTACAAGCGCCCTTGTTTACTCTTACTAGAGTCGTCTGACAAGGGTGGTTAAACCGGCTTGACATTTCAAGGAAGGTAAGTTCTTCCAAACATAGTAAACCTTTTGACCTTTCAAATGCATTTAACTAGAATAGTTTTGTTGCTTCAAGTTATACAAAAATTCATTTTAATTCTTTAATTTATATAGATAGTTTATAATCCATTTTTACATGTACATATTTCTTCATTTTATTTGTCTTGTCGTATTGTTACTTCTACGAATCGCCAAAAAGACATTTCGTAGCAGGAAAAAAGAGAGTGTCGTTCAATATGAGGATTTTCGGATGGATAGATATGTTTAAATTTCGTAAAGAACGAAGTCAGCTTTTTCATAATCATCTTTCGATTTGCTGCCTACACGCTTTTTTAAATGATACTTCTCTTTCTTCTTTCAGGAAGGATCCCTCATAGGGAAGACCATGACGAATAAGAGCTCTAAAATTCGCTTCAACTTTTCCCGAGAACATCTTAAGGTGGCGCTGTACAACAAGGAAGCTAGCAAGAACGGAAATGAAAGTACGTGAAACTGCAATGTTTCGCAATCCTTGGGTGTGCGACAAAAACTGAATGATTCATATGTATTAGTTGCGATTACTTACTGCTCTGGTAAACGATAAAGATGCATGTAACATTTTGAAATTAAAAATCTTTTCTTTGACCACAAACCGCCTTTGCCAACCGTTTACTCATGGCGTGTCAACTCCCGTAGGTAGAACATGCAGGAAGGTTTTAAATAACAAGCCAGAGGCTGAAAGGATTAAATTTACAAACAAACATTTTTCAGGCCAATTTACAATTTCAACTTAGTCGATATTTCTAAATTTTTCAGGCTGGCTTTCAAGGCAAGCTCTACCACATGATTTACAGTTGTTTGAAGTCGCCACCCCTGGAAGCCTGCGGTATGGCGTTTTCTGTGGTCAGCTTCCTATCAGGAAAGGATTGCGCTTTGGGCCATACACAGGAAGCATTGTCTGTTTAGAGCAAAAAGGCTTTGTTCAAAGTGAGTTCTTGTGGGAGGTGAGTTGTTTGAAAGTCATAAGCTTTTCCTTGGGACTTTTTTTACTTCTTTTGTATACTTTACGTTGCAAAACCCCAAAATTCTCAGTGGGTGGAAACAATTCAGTGACCGGGCGGATTAAAATAGACTAGTCTCTCAGCTCCCAATTTATTTATTCAACATTCGCCCCGATTTTGCGCTCGTTTCTACAAACTGGTTGCATATTTCAGCCGGCCACGGTAAATTTGGAATTTTTCAGTTATCTAGTTAAAAAGAACTTATAAATTTTTTGACACCTTGATTTATGACATTTGACGTTTTGAGATAGCAAAATTAACTTACCATGCTATATCTTACAACACTCCAGATATTTATCGAGGGTCGCCTTGGCTATTTCATCGATGGAGCTGCAAATCCAAAAAACTGGATGAAGTTCGTTGATTGCGCTTACCATCCAGTCGAGCAAAACCTGCAATTAATACAGGAAGAACACGTTTTGTATTACGAGGCCACACATCTTATAACGGAGGGGGAGGAACTGAAAGTGTGGTACGGTGAAGGGTATCGCATGTTCATGGGAATACCCCTGGGAATAAAGAGTGGATCAGATTGTGAGTGAAGCATTAGACGTCGTAAAACCAAGGCAACAAAAGACAATCAAAAGAAATTTTTGAATTAAAAACAGTCAAACTGCCTAATGTGCGAAAACGCGAGTTGGTACGTCAAAGGTCTCAGTGAGGTGAAACTTTGGCCGTAAAACAGCCAAAACACTAAGCCATTAGGCATAAAAATTAACAATTTTTAACCGTTAGTCGTAGAAAAAGTTAGCCGAAAAAGAATTTTTTATCACAAAGAAGGAAACCAACCGTTAGCCGTAAAAGCCATCTGCATTAAGATCCTCTAAGCTGTCATTAGTCTTGGTTTTTAATTTGATATTTTGCTGATCCGATGTTCTGATCTGACAGTCAGAGAGTGAAATCACTCGGTGTTCTAAACCAAACAACCTTGGGACTTAAAAGCCTCGAACGTTTCATGGAGATATGTCGAGTCCCGCTTTCCCCCTCCCTCCTTCCCTCTTTGAACACCCCTCCCTCCCCCCCTCTCTGGAAATTTGTTTGGCTCCAAATACAAAGTAGATAAACAAAGGAAATTGAAGTGACTTGACGCAGCGTACTGGGCAATCCTCAACTTGCAAACGCCTTTAAAAAGACTGAGGTTTAGAATTAGAGAATAATACTTTCCGATCCGATCAAGGTTAGAGCTTCTGAAAACTGAAAATGGTTAATGAAGTTGTCAAATTCTTCATTGCAGATGATTCAAGTTATCCCTGTCATGGTTGTGGCAAAGTTTTCTCTTACAAATACTACCGCGACCGTCACCTTAAATACACTAGCTGCGTCGATTTCGGTGACCGGAAGTTCTCCTGCACTCTGTGTAACCGCTCCTTTGAGAAGCGCGATCGTCTCCGCATCCACATACTCCACGTTCATGAGAAACACCGTCCACACCAGTGTGCGCAATGCGGCAAAAGATTCTCCCAGTCTTCAAGCCTCAACAAACACGCACGAGTTCACAGCGGCGAACGGCCTTACAAGTGTCCCTATTGTACCAAAGCCTTCACTGCCTCCTCCATACTGCGCACGCACATCCGTCTACACAGCGGCGAGAAGCCCTTCAAGTGCAAGCATTGTGGGGATGCATTTGCGTCACATGCAGCACATGACAGTCACGTGCGACGAAATCATCAGACTGTATAGGGCTCTTGGGTCCTCCTGCCTTTCGTAACTTAGCAACCACTGTCTTGACAACATGAATGTAAACAGAAACTTTCGCTTTTCTTCTGTGTTCAAGGCATTTTAACTGTCTTTGATTACTTTACTTACTCTACACACCTGTAAAGAGCAGCTCCTTTTCTCGGAATCAATAAAGGCAAATTAATAAAAGTTGAATATAAATGTATAATATTACAGTCGCTGTCATAGAAAATTTTTAGCGCGTGTTTATTTTTTGCTGCGTCTTCGAACGGAATGAGCAGGAATAACCAGTTATTAGCAAAAAGCTAGGAGTAACTGCGGTCCTAGTCGTCTCTTTCAGCTCTCATTTTTCTATGGCGGACTGTCTATACGGACAGGCTTTATTTGAAACCGAAGCATATTCTCTTGAAATTTTGAATCAAATATCTTTCTTTGCAAACACTGGCATCTGGGTATTTATTTTCATATCTACATACGATGTACTGCTTCTGTTAAAAATGTATTTAGGAGCACTTCTTTATTGATTTACTATCGCAATGCAGATGAACTTGTATTTTTCACTTGCGAATGAAGACTTTGAAAGGTACTATGCTGCATCAATATCGATGAGTTAAGCAAAATGACGTTTTCAGAGACACAAATCAACTTTACTAAATGCTACAATTCGGCACAATTCCCGATCGGGGTTACGTTTAAGGTAGCTAATTAATTTTGGCTTCTACTTTTTAACTGATTGGGGCTATTTTGATACTTTTGATGACTAGATTTTTTTTTCCTATTGATTTGTTTTGACATGGACGTATTACAAAAAGACGTAATAGAGACTTTCTTAAATGTTGATACCACCTGCGAAGCAATATTACCTACTCTACTTGCTTAACCAATGGGAATCTTTCAATTTTCAGGCCTTCATCAAAATCGTGACTTTAATTATTTGTTAAATCATTGTTGTCGCGCAGAGACCAAATTCACTGGCGTCAAAAATTTTTACCATGTAAACTATCCCCGAAAACCCTCGTGTTCGAACCTGAAGAGCCATAAATCACCAAGGATCCGGAAAATAATATGCAGAGGTTAAACTTGCAATTGGAAAAATTACTTTTTGTATGTGGACTAATTGCCTGCGCCATTTGCAGCTTGCTTGGAAGCCAAAACCTGGTAATTGAGGCCGACATCTTCCTCGAGGAACAGAATTCTGATGTAACAAAAATTGTACAAAATGCTATGCAGCGTTATATCGATGACCATAAAAATTCTTCAGATTTAAGTTTGAAGCTTATCAAGTACAACAGATTGATATCTGATATATTGGGCTTAAATCGAGAGATGGGTTTAAATTACAACCAATCGAGTTCGCTGCACGTGGCAATTTTAGTTCACATTTCGAGTCATGAAATGATTTTGTCTTCCATCCTGGAAAGTTCACATGTTCTAACAGTTGGTCTTTTCCAAACGAACGAAATGTCTAGAACACAGGTAAGAAGTGCTGCTGTTTTCTTTTATTATATTGCGTATTAGATCCAATGAGAGATATTTTTATTTAAAACGTCGTATTATTCCATTGTGCTCTTACCGATTTGTTCCGATGAAATTGATTATCGTATTTGTCTTTGAATTTCCCCGCTTTCTGAGCTTTGCTGTGTCTACACAGTTAAATCTTTCACAAAGCCACTTTTATAAAGAGATATGTAATAATTTTTTCTAAAAAGACAGAAGGTGTTTATTTTCGATGTGAAGAATACTTGTTTTGGCTAAAGCGCTTGGGAATACAGCTGCGCTTCGTCTGATAAAATTAATTTCCAAGAACTTCCAACATTTTGGTTTACTTTGAAGGAAAATTACCTCAAGTACTGCATCACAGATAAACAAATCATTTCAATTTTATTACATTGCATTTCTTTTCCCGAAAATTTCTCACAATCACAGGAACCTTTGTTATACGCACTGATAAGAAGCGAGTCTAGATCAATCCTTGGCTTGCTTACATTTGCTTCTTACAAAATATCAAACAATGAATTAGTTAAATTTACTCAAACCCTTGTTTTTGTTTTCCTTTGCATTTAGAGTTTTATTATTTCCTCAACAAAATTCTTGAAATCCATTAAAGATTTTTTGCTGTATACAAAACGTTCCCTCGTAATTTCTTTAGCGACCATTGTATCAAAAGTGATGTTCCTCAGCGGATAGAATCGAAATTGACATTAATTGCTGACACATTGCCATCGGCGTCAAAAAGGATATTTTATCTTTATTTAAATCGCAATTTTAGTTTACAGTTTTACCCTGACATGGCATATGGGTATATCAAGTAAATGTGATAAATTGTATTTAATAAAAAAAAAAAAAAAACCAAAATGATGAAATAAAAACGTATATAAATGCGATCAGTCGGAAATTTTCTAGTTCAAGTACTCAGTTGAAATTTCAGCTGATTAGTTTTAACGCGGAAAAAATATCAATAATTGGTTTGTCATGGTTACGTTAGAGCAAGTTCTGTTTAGTACTGCATACAGACCACATCACCACTAGAGACCATAAACATTTACCGGCTACGCGCCCACGCGTATGATTTTATACGAACAACGTATCAGCTAATATAACAGAACTTTCTCCAAACACTTCCTGAGTAACCCCCGCATGGAGTAAGGGGCCGACCATTTCACTTTTGAGGGGGGTTGGGTGGGTGATTTCTGGTCATCAAGAAATTTTTTTCTAGCAATCTGCTGGGCAGGATATTTTTTCCGTTTTAAATGCTCTTTTTTTTCTGTTACATTTGGGCTGCATGCAATTTTTTTTCTTCCAACAAGCGCATGCAGGAAATGTTTTTTCAAAATCCCGCCCCCCCTCTCAAGAGTTAAATGGTCGGCCCTTAAGTGACACTTCTGTATTTCTGTGGAGGTGGATATTGATAACTTGGCTGTAGGAGATTCCTGTTTATCCCCCAGACAGACGCAATTAGAAACGTGGGTGCCTGGTTTGGTGCCAACTTTATAATGAGCATGCATGTTACAAAAACTTGTAAAGCAGGTTTCTTTTAACTCCATAATATCAGCAGGATAAGAAAATTCTTTTGTCAAGTAATCACGGAGAATTTGATACATGCGTTCGTTACGAGCCGCCTCGACTATTGTAATTGTATGGATAACCTAATTGTCTTATATCTTAAATGCGACGCGTTCAAATTTCAAAATGCGGCCGCAAGGCTGGTATATAGAACACCCAGATATTGTCCCATTACCCTTTGTTAACAGAACTTCATTGGTTAAATGTTAAGCTTGGAATTGGCTTTAAGATAATCCTTATGACCTATAAGGCATATTCTTGGAACAGCAACAGCATTTAGTCTGTCTTAAACAGAACTCCAAGTATGGACTACGATCTAAGAACACAATGCCAATAGCACTATTAGCTAAAAGAACCTTGCCAACTCTCGGGGACCATGCATTTGCTGCTGCTGCCCTATGTCTCTGGAACTCCTTGCCAATAGAGATAAGAGAGGAGCAGAGTCTTAATATTTTCAAGAAAAAGCTCAAGACTCCTCTTTTTAGGATCGCATATTTAAATCAAGGTTTTATATTTTACAACTTCCAATAACCTTTTTCTATTACTTTTAGCCTATCACATAGTTTTGTATTTATTTGTTTTTAGGTATTTTTAGGATTGTATAGCGCATTGGAAAACATATGTTGAATTTGCGCTACATCAATAAATATATTGTTATTATTATTATTTATAATTATCATACCATTATCGTTATCATTATTATTATTATTATATAATATATTAATTCCGATCATTTTGCGTATACTTTAAACTGGGGCTGAGAAAATATATTTGAATTCTAACACTGCGACAGATTAACTCGAATTATTAAATTTTCAACTCTGAATATTGCATTCATTGTGTTCTGATCGTTTTACTCAACCCCAGTTATCGTTTCATATTCCGAATCACCTTATTCGGAAATGCATTGCGCTAACTGTTGTGGAGCTGAAAAAAGCTCCGAAAATGTTGTATCTAGAAATTGCAGTCGACACCAATTGTTAGAGTTAATTTAAAGAAATTGCAGGCGTCTACATTTAATTAATTAATTGACAGTGATTATTTTTAATAACAGGAAAATCCAGCTTATTTTACCAGAGTAGCATCCCCATCGATGATACACTACGCTTGTACCATCCGAGATCTGGTACAAAAAATGGGTTGGCGCACACTTAGCTTTGTACTTTCCACTGACTTGGAAGGGAGAGTTTTCTCGGATGCACTACTGATATCCTCAAGAGAATTGAAATGGAATATTCTACATGTAGCGTGGCTGTCTGGAAATGAAAATACCACTGAGCTAGAATCTCATATCAAAATGGTCATGAATAACCAAAGTGATGCAGTCATTGTCCACGTTCGCGACACATACAATGATGATTTGTTCCGAATAATCCAAGCTCAAGGTGTCAGTCACCTCAAAGCTTCGTGGGTGCTGACAGACATTACTACACTTGGGGTATCGGACAACGAAGTACTACCCACCGGTTTTATCAGGATATCTCCTTGGAAAATTCTACAACATGACTTTATGGAGGATGCTCTGTACGATGTGTTTCGGTTGATAACAAAGTCGGTAACCTCCACCGTCGCTAACACAGCTGAGGGACACATATCAATTGATCAGTCTGATAAAAAAATAGACTTCCAGACGGCACAAAAGTTGAAGAAGTAGGTAGAACTTTGAGAAAGCTCACGTATGTAACGAATTCGCCATTTCATACCTCCTCGTCCTCCACGTCCTTCTCGCTCCACCCCTTCTTCTTTCCATTCCTCCCTTTCATCTCCTCATTCACCTCCCTATCCCTGTCCTTCCCGTTCCATTCCTTTACTTCTTCTTTTTCTTTGTACTATTCTTTCTTTTTCTCTCTCTCTCTCTCATTCCCACTCCTCCTCTCTATCGCTCTGTCCCCACCTCCGTTTCACTCTTCTTCTCCTTTTCTTTCATCTTCTTTCCCTTTCTTCGTTCTCTGCCCCTTCAAATTGCTTCTCCTCCTCACCCTACAACACCTCCTTTCTTCCATTTGTCTATTCCTCCTCCTTTTTCCCATCCTTCATCTCCGTCTACTCCTTCCTGCTCATTTTCCCCTTTTCCATATCCTCCTCTTTCCTCCTCCCCTACTTCCCTTTCTCCTCTTCCTCCTACTTCTTTCTCTTCCTCTTTCCTTCTCTTTCTCCCTCCTTTTCCTACTCTTCGTCTCTCTTTTCCTTCCACTTCCTCCTCTCTTTTGCATACATACATACATAGGTTAATTGCCACTCCCCATGGGGGCTTTTCAGGACCAATTCCCACCCAGCAACCACCCCAGGGGAGGACATCCATAATAATAATAATAATAATAATCACACAGTAATCTTGTGCGTGGGAAATTAACGTCTCCTACCCCTAACCCTGCAGGAGATGGGACCTCCATTTATTCGTCCCTATCCGATAAGACTAGAGTATCTAACCATTTCTTGATATAGAAAGGTGGTATATTCTTCTCACTTGATTTAAGACCTTGAGTGTTGGTCCGGCTGGGGCTCGAACTCTCGACCTTCCGCACAACAGTCCAGCGCTCTATCCAGGGTTAGGGTTAGGGCACCTTGCCCATCTTAACACTACGCAACTCCCTCTTTGTCGTTCCTCCTCCTCCTTCTTCTGCTCTTCTCATTCACGCACCTTTTAAACTTTATTCACCAATCCTAGTTTGTAAAATAAATCTGTTTCTTGAATTAGGAAACTGAAAGACACTTTCTTCCCAGGGAAGTCGTCCTTACTCGAAGATCCTAATCTATCTAAAGGACCATTTGCTACCATGAGTATTTTTAATCTACAAGAAGATGTTTCTGGAGACAAACATTGGATATCTGTGGGTCTAAGGACATATTCAGGAACGGCATTAGAGACATTTCTCACTCCAAATGGATATCACATTTCCCCAAGTGTTACAACTCCAAGACCCATTGTGCGGGTTCCTGTGGTTTCGTATCCGTCCTGGGTAGATTCCGAGACGCCACTGGACACTTCAGAGAGTAACGTTTCGTGCATGAAGAGAGGCTACATGTGTTGGAACAAAACAGACACAGGAGTTGTCCAGCTTTGTTGCTTTGGATTTTCCATCGACTTGTTGAGAACTCTTGAACAACAGCTTGGCTTCGTTCCCGAGATTTACCTCGTTTCCGACGGTCAGTACGGCACTATTGATGAGGAGACGGGAAAGTGGAACGGAGTTATGGACGAATTGGTTTCGGGAAGAGGTGATTTGGCCTTAGACTTGGTGATGACTGGGAGAAGGTCAAAAGAAATCTCATATTCAATTCCATATCTTCCTCTTGCGCTGAATATCCTAGTGAAGAAAGATGGACCGCTTAAAAATGGTGAGTGACCTTTGCCACAGCTGAGACGCGTTATTCAAGATCTTCAATGATAGTTCAATCGCTAGATTGGTGGAATGCAAATCCTCAATTCCGAGTTTTAGCCTCAACGCGAGATCAATGGGTTGTTCTTATTTGATTTAGACAGCTTACTCACATAACGGATTCTCCAACTAGAAGTATAATTCATACTTGCTAAATGCAAGGGAAACCGGAGGATATTCTGCAAATAACCGCTACCTACGTGAGTCAGAATCATTTAGTTGGTCTCAACGGTACATGCCTCCCCCCTTCCCTATTGAGTTACCCTGACCGAGCTAGTTGACCGCCAATTTGTCCACAGTGCAAGCTGCCTAGTTGTCCAAGCCGGAGACTGGCGTGCTGGATCGGGGCAGGGTTTTTAAGTATCGGAAACTACACGATTAGGGCATCACTTTCGATTGCTGACCTCATTTTCCACGGTACATTATACTGTGCTTTTCACGCAGGTAATGCTTTGCACTCTTGGTTACAGCCGTTTAGTGTCTACTTGTGGGTGGCCATATTGGGAACATGTAACCTCATTTTACTGGTAGTCTGGTGGCTGGATAGAAAAAGTCCAACAGGTCATCATCGTACTTTTAAGAAGACTGACGAGAATGGATTTACGATGTTAGGTTTGTGACCAATAACCGCTCTTAAAGTTTGAGATTGTCATTCCTTTTTCACTCTTATTAGTTAGCTGCGACCGCCAGTGGGAGGCGGCTAGGTAATGTAAAACAGTACCTACCCCACAACTAGAGAGGGAAAATGGACTTTTGCTTCGTCAACATTAGAAACAGGATTCGAATGACTTAAAATATTACAGTGTCTTTGACTTTTTATTACTGTTTTAAAGAAAAATTTATTATTACACCTCAGAAACAATTTCTCATCGCTAGGAGCTAGGAGACGCAGTGTCTGACTTTTTATCCTTGTTTTAAGGAAACCTTTATTAAGCGGACACTGTGTATTATTAAGCGACCATTCAACTAGAGTTTGATTCTAACGGACGTTTCATCTGTACTCTGAACCAACCCTAATTCAATGGACGATGAAATTAAAATTAAGTAAAGTTGAGATCCACGACCTGTATCGCCAGCAAGCAGGGTCCCAAGGGTTGTACAGTTTTGGCTCTATTACGTCACTATCACTGAGAGGAGAGGAGAGGGGAGTGGAGTGACACGCAGTTAAGGACTTCTTAAATAGAGAACGCTGTTGTAATTTTTGTTACTGCAGACGCCATGAGCTATGTTTGGGGCGTGGCATTCAGCAAAGACATTGGAGCAGAGAGGACCCCTCGCAGTATCAGCGCACGATGTGTGTCCACAGTATACGCGTCTGTGGCTTTGATCCTTGCTAACACATATTGTGCTAACTTAATGGCTTTTTTGGTTCAGGATCACTATACCTTGCCAATTGATGGAATCACAGACCCCAAGGTCTGTTAAATCTTAGTCGTTGTTGTTGTTGTTGTTTTTCTTTTTGTATAGCGTAAAATCTTCAATTCGTGAAGCAAATTAACAGTTTATCATTTCACAAAATAGTAGATTTTGGGCGTGATGAACTTCGCCTAATCATTTGCACGAAAGAGTCGGTGCAAATAATTTCACCATGATTGTATCCCAACGAGGATTATCTCTATTATTTACCCGGGTTTTAGTTTTCCATTTTCTCTTCTTGACTCTTTGATGCTGAGAAGATGTCGCTTAGCCTGCCCTTGGTTAGGCTCTGGACTTTTTGACTAGAGTACACTGTGTCTCTTTCTGAATATTCTCATCAACTCATAATGCATTCTTCATCGATTTATTTTCTAGTTGATAGACACTTCCTTTCATCCACCGGCTGGGTTTCAGCTTGGTATTCTGAAAGGTTCCTATTCTGAGGCGTATTTCAGAAACCATATAAATGATGATATCCAGCAATTATACGAGACCAACATCAAAAAGAATCTGCTGAGCAGTTTCACTGAAGGAATAAACAGACTTGAAAACGGGTAAGTGCTATGTGAGTTAAATTTAAAACAAGAGATTTGTCGAACACTGTGTGTCTGCAACCTCGTTACGTACACCCGACCCAGTTTTCCCAACTTTTAACGCAGCCAGAACTATTGCTAAAATGAAGCGATTCTTTATTTTCTTGACAGTGAAATCGATGGTTTCGTCGACGATTATCTATCATTGAGAAAGGCCAACAACAAGATTGCGAATTGCCATTTTGGATTGGCTGGACCAAATTTCTACACCTTTGGGTTAGGAATCGCTATGCCTAAAGATTCTCCTTGGCTGGAAGAGATCAACAAAGTTATCTTCGAAATGAATCAAAACGGGACCATTGACATGCTGGAAAAGATGTACTTTGATGAACAGATGTGCTCTTCTTCGATCGCTAAGAGACTCAGTGTCTTGAATTTAAGCGGCCTTTTTCTGGCTCTGGCTGTAACCATTGGCTTCTGCTTTCTAGCCCTTTTAGTAGAGGTGCTGGTGATATTTGCGTTGGTGAAATTTAGGCATCATTTAGGAGCCCTAGGAAAGTGTTCTGTACGATTGTTGTTTGACGTTGAGAAAGGCGAAGAACATCTTATAATGCTGCAGTATTCCTCTGAAAAGAAAAGAAAGTGTGTTCAGATGGATGTGGTCAAAATCAACGCTTCGACTCAAGAGGGGAAGCGAGACTCCATTAAAACAGTGACTTCTTTGGGAACACCTCCGTTAGAGAGAAGTTTTGAGGCAGCCGAGAAAAGAACACGAGATTTAGCTAACGGATCCTTTGTTTCTAACCTTACCTCTGATAGTATGCTGACTTCGTTTACAAACGATGGTTGCTATGGCGACAATTTAACTCCCTCAGTAACGCCCCTTTGACGGTTTAACGAAACACATTAGAATCGTACAATCCCAGAGCCATTTGAAGAGAGTAAAAAGGACTCTGGGAACGAGAATAATAAGAGTCCCAGGTATAAACAGAGGAGGCTTGAAATCGTTCCGAAAGGTTGGCGTCACTTTGATAAATTAAGCGCTTTTATAATTGTGAAATGTTCAGCAGGCAACCGTGGACGATACTCCTACTCTTGTACGTTGGATTAGCGATGATCTGATCGGCCCAAAATAACGAATATGAAATATAAATACAGAGGCAACACCGATACAACGTAGATAAGTAAATTTAAGACGGAGCACTATATTTCGGCTGGCCAAACCAGCCTTCTTCAGGTGCAGTGGGAATTAACAGAGAATTGGGGTGATGCTTCGTAGATAGCTCTATGATGTAACAGCGGAAATATGTAAAACTAATTTGATTGACAATGAGATAACAATAAAAATAGAAATAGTGAGCAAAAATAGAAATGAAGTAAGGTAAATTGGATAAATAACTAGAAACTAATACATTTCTTCGCGAGCGTTAAGGCCATCTGGATAAATAGTGTTGCCTCTTGAAATTAAAAAAGCTTCCCTGGCCTTGCGTATCGAGTCTCTCTTGGAAAACACTTTTTCGATGGCGATTAGCTCCATGTCGTGAGCAGAGTGGTTAGGAGAGGAAATGAAGTGTTCTGCCGCTGTAGTAGGTTTAGATTTAGAGTTAGGTTTATCAATGGTACGGCGGTGTTCATTAAAACGGTCTTTTAAACGTCGTTTAGTTTCTCCTATGTATTGTAAGTTACAGCGGTTACACTGAATTAAGTAGATAAGGTTTTTAGTGTCACAGGTCAAGTGAGATTTAATGGGACGTGTTTCGCCGGTAGAAAAAAAGGTATAGTTAGTAAGACCGTCAGAGATGTAGGGGCAAGTAGCGCAGTTTCTACCACAACGGAAAGAGCCGGGGGGGAGTTGAGGATGGGAAGTGGTAGAATTAGAGGGGAGTTTGGCTGTTACTAATGTGTCGCGAAGGTTGGGGGAGCGTCTGAAGGCGACAACTGGCAGCTGAGGAAAAGCTTTTTTGCAGCGGTTAGAAGACTGCAGTAGATGCCAGTGTTTTTTGATGATGTTGGAGATGTGAGGAAGCGACGGATTAAAAGTAGTTATAAATGGAATACGGTTAGGTTTTTTTACGTCTTTAGTTTGTAAGGTGAGTGTGCGGGAGATGTCAGCGGCGCGTTGTATTTGTTTGGTGACGAATTTATGGCTGTAACCTCGTTTGAGAAGGTATGAGGTAAGTTGAGCGGCGCGAGTCTCAAAAGCTTTATCTGTAGAACAGATACGTCGTAGGCGGAGTGCTAGACTGAACGGAATGGCTTTTTTGGTATGTAATGGATGGCAAGAAGAGTGCAATAGATACATATGTTTGTCTGTGGGTTTGGTGTAGAGGTCAGTGGAGATATTACCGTCGTTTTAAAAATCCAAAACA